GGAAAGAGTTGAAGAAAGTCCATCCTATAGACACCCTGGTTCACTGAGAATTAAACACATGGAGGACACTGTAAAATCAAATAGTAATATTTCAGCACAATCCTAAATTAGTAAAGATTTCTATTCAACCCAATACCAGTCAAAAAACTTAATTTACTACTGAAATGCATTTCAGGATTTCATGTGACAGCAGGCTCAACTGCCTGCCAACTCAGCCTGCTTCAGACAACAGAACGTACAGCACGTGTGTTAACAAATCCATGACATGTTTCAGCCCCTTTGACCTATCTTGTCAACCTGTTGTCAAGCCACACAACAATAAATGGAAGCACCTTTGGAAAGCACTGCCCTGGACACAGAACAAAAAGGAAGAGTCCTGTGCAGCCAAACATTCCCTCACAAGATCACCTGCCTTCCCCACCTCCATACAGGACCATCCTACTGACATGTTTTGGGGACGCACAGAGGATGATCACTACCAAAGGCACAAACACTCTGCTTGGTATTTACCAGCTTAGAATAATTAACTGGAGACCAGCTAGCAGCTCAGCTCTGGAAAGGACATCACTTCCAATAAATAATCTCATGCAATATTTAAACAAACATTTGATCCATGTTCAAAAGACTCATCCTACACCCATGATGCAAACAGGAGCAGGTCATTTCTCCTCAGGCTCTTGGCTTTCTGAAGTCTCTGGGTGAGTTAATGAGGAACAAAGTGTCCTGGGGAAACCATATTCCTTGTGACACTTCCTACAGAAAAACAGGCACCAAAGTGCCCAAAACCCCCTCTGTAACAACTATAACACCTGCCCTCAGGTCCCACTTTTATGCCCCCAGGACACTGGGGTTGCAGCACAGTCCCTGTCCCAGGCAGAGCCCTCAGCCCCACACGGTGTCACAGCCAGTCTGGACACAGAGCACAGCTCAGGACTTGCAACACCCAAGGACTCTGGGTCACATCTCATTTTCAAGTTTACTTTCACAGCCTGCACCTCTCCTGGCTGCAGCTCTGGGCTCTGACAGGCGGGAGGGCAGGGAGCTCTGCAGGACACACACAACTGCATCCTGTTTGCCCTTCACTGTGTGAGGGGAGAAAAAGCCTAAAGAACTGCTGATAATGGGTGTGCACCCTGCTCCATTTCCTGAAGCTTTTCATTCTTTGTACAGAAAATTAGTACTTTCCAGCTGGAAAACAAATCACTATCCACTTCCTCTGGTAATCTACAACGCAGTGTACATTTTTACTCTACCTCAATGTTAGTATTTGTAGTCCCTTCCCAACTCAACTGAATTCTGAATTCTAGATTGATTTTTGTGTTTAAAACTCACAGCCATCCTGACTAGAAAAAGATCACAAGTTTATTTTTGAGAAATAAATTTTACTTATTACAAGAGAAACCTGAAGCCACTATTACAGATAAGGCAAATCCAAAATAGCTTATTTCACAGAGACCAACAGAATATTTACAACTCTGTCAGACTAATCCCATTTTTTACAGTTTTCTAGATAGTTATGAGTAATTTTCTCCTACCAAAACATGAAAATGCATTCTGAACGTGCTCAGCAATAAGTCTGTTAGGATATGAAATAACAGGCAAAAGTGGGGCATGGAGATCAGTAACCTGCACAAGTTTGACAGAGACCCAACTCTGCACAAGGTTATTTTGAAAGGCAGCAATTGTTTATCATAGTGACAAAAACAGAGTCTGATGAACAACTAGCTTTTGGTAATTTACTATTTCAGTAGAAGACTGGAATTTAAACTTTGTTAGAAATAGATAATCTAATGGTTTAAGTATTGGGATTTTAAAAGACACGTTTGAAACTAAACAGAGGAAGAAGAATGTTCCCCTAACTCAGCAGAGCATGGCTTACATGTCCAAAAGGTTCTCAAGCTTGGACTCAACAAGTAACGTCCCCCAACACAAAACAAGTAAATGCATTTTAATGTTTAAATCAAATCACTGAAGTAAAAATGAAAGCAACAGTCTCTATTGCCCAATGGACACAGTCCCTGTGGCTGAGCCAAGCCTGGCCCTGCTGGGGCAAGGGAGGGACTGTGTCACCTGGGATCCAGGCAAGCATAATCCCTACCTCAATGACAATCTGTTTTGCATAAATAGAAGTTGAGCTTGTTAAGCCAAGGAGGGACCCAAAGCCATTCAGAACAAGGTAATGGCCATGGAGCAATGAGGATGTCCCAGAAGCGGGTGCCCCCAGCAGGGCTGTGCTCCTCCCATCCAGCTCCCCACCCACCTGCCCCTTCCTGCCCGGCTGTTTCAATATCACAACGTGGCTCACCAGGCTTGGGCCCCAATGTCCCAGCCCCATTTCCCAACCCCACATTCCCCCCAGCCCCAGCTCATGGTCAGGGGTGAGGGCTGCAAGGGAGGGGCTGCTGCTGCCCCCCCAGCACAGCCTGGCAGAGGCAGCTGCTGCTTTTAAACTGCCAGTAGAAAAAATACAGGCAATCTTTTTTTCACTCTTTGAGGCAAAACCCCTGAACACATTACCAACTGTTAAGGGAAAGAAAAACACTTCCTGCTTCTTCTAGAGGAAACCTACACAGAGAGGGAGTTCCCACACATCCCCACAGCCACATGGCCCCCACAGCAAAAGGCACAAACCCTCACCTACCTCACACCTCTAGAGATTAAAAGCCTGGCAAGGAGTCAGTGACAGGAGTTGAGGCCTGAACTGCAAATGCAGTAAACAGTTTTCTTCTGTCAAACAGGACTGAACACTAACTATCTTAATGTAATTTTTCTTCATTTTAAGAAGATATTTAAACAACCAAAATTATAATCTTGCATCACTAGCTAAGACTCTTCTGGAATTTTTAAATTATTTAATACATAGAACATCACAACTTTGTACTTCCATTTCCACTTCACACATCTGGAAGAAGCAATGTTAGTATCCATTTGGGGAAAGCAATGTTAGTCCCCATTGTAGGACAGCTTGAGAGCCACTAAGAACATTGTTACTGTGGAATTCAACTGTCATCTTTCCTTAAATCAAGGGCAATAAAGTACCACTAAAGCACAGTGAAAGAAGAAAATGCAACTACTGGAAAGCAGTTAAAGGGAGAGAGGAAAAACACCATTTCCAAAGACTGTTAAGCCTTCCAGTATATGTGAAAATCTGGCTTCACCTTAAAGGGTGTTGGTCCTGGAGTAACAAGACTGAAAATAACAATCATGCTGAGGAAACTTACTTCAACACAAACTTTTGGCATGCAGCAAAGAATATTCTTAGAAAGAAATTCTGCTCACCAATTCCCGTGTGCTCAGTGAAAAAAAACTAAACACAACCAAAACCTTTTAAACATTCAAAAGGAAAAATATTCCACTTACATCTTCAGTGTCCTTGACCCGTAAAATCTGCTCCCGTAAGTCCTGTAAGTCGTTAAATGTGGACTGTGCTGTTATAGAATATACTAGTGCAAACCCTTGGCCATTCTTCATGTAGAGATCCCTCATTGCTGTAAATTGCTCCTGTAATCAAATATTTTTACAAGTGATTAGCTAGTGAATGCAGGCAGTGAACATCAGCAAAGGAACACTTCTACTGTGACGGGCAAGTGCGCGGGCCTGTGAAGCACACATGGACATTTGTACCCATACAGAGATCCACCAAACATGCACATGGAACAGAAACATTCACATTTTCTTTCCCTTTGGTTTGGTTTGTTTGGTTTTTTCCCTAATAGAGAAAAAAAAATATTGGGAAAAAAAGGGAAAAAGATGAAGAGGAGTAATAAAAATGGATCTGCAGACAGACAGTTATATGCCCCAAACCACAAGACAAGGTGTTAAGGTTTGGGTGACTATATTTTGTAGTGACCTTTCATTTATTTTCTGCTATTCTGTTAAGCATGAGTCTGTCAACAGACCAGCCCCCAGACAACAGAGATGGACAGGAAATTCACTTTCCCCTCTAACATGACATTGAAACAGGCTGAGGTGTCACATCCTTGAGATTTATTGTGGGCACAACCACGTGGGAAGGCACTGCCTGATCACCTCTGAACACATGCAATTATACCATAGTCATCTCTAGCACAAAAATGGCTTAAAAAGGTTCAGTGCAATGAAATGCAAGAGGAGGCTGGAAAATCTGTTCCAGATCAGAGCTGCCTTTGTGAAACAAAACTTTACCAGAGCCATGGAACAATGATTTATGCTTCCACACTTTGAGAATTCTCAAAGCTTTCCAAATCACACAGGGAGGCAGCGTGTCCTCCCCCTGAGATGTCCATCACAAAGGCCATTAACTCAGTGACAGGGCTTTGCAGGACAGTGAGTGAGAGTGGCCTGGCAAAGGGACTGCCCACACAGCCCCTCTGGGATGGAGGGACCAGGGAGGTGCCACGTGGGCAGAGGAGCTTTTCTTGTCAGGGACAAGATCTTTATGGATGAAATCCTGCCCACGTGGGCTGATGTGCCATGTTGGGAGAAGACCCCTATGCCAGCCCTGGAAGTGGCTTTGATCTGTGTCTGTATATTCTGGGCACTTGCAGAATGAAGCATAAAATGCTCCATATCAGTGTGCTGACAGTGAGAGGATGGGGCTGGCAGGGAAGGGGTGAGGGGCTTGGGATGCACCAACCTGTGGGTCCTGGCACTTTCTGGGCAGAGGGTTCACACGCTGCTGGCAGGGCTGCAGGCTCAGGCACCACGAGGGGTTTGGGTTATTTAACAGAAGTGTTCCATTTACATTATTGCCACTCATCTATTTATTATTTTTTTTTGCTTGGGTGGGATGACACTAGTCTAAGCTCTGCTCTTAACACCTCACCCCATTCTTCACAAAGAAACTCCACACCAATGAGCAAAAGAAGTTGCACTTACTGTCCCTGCTGTGTCGAGGATTTCAAGCATACACTGTTGACAGTCTACTTCCACTTGCTCAAGATCTTTATGGATGAAATCCTGCCCACGTGGGCTGATGTGCCATGCTGGGAGGAGACCCCTATGCCGGCCCTGGAAGTGGCTTTGATCTGTGTCTGTATATTCTGGGCACTTGCAGAATGAAGCATAAAATGCTCCATATCAGTGTGCTGACAGTGAGAGAATGGGGCTGGCAGGGATGAGGGGCTTGGGATGCACCAACCTGTGGGTCCTGGCACTTTCTGGGCAGAGGGTTCACACGCTGCTGGCAGGGCTGCAGGCTCAGGCACCACGAGGGGTTTGGGTTATTTAACAGAAGTGTTCCATTTACATTATTGCCACTCATCTATTTATTATTTTTTTTTGCTTGGGTGGGATGACACTAGTCTAAGCTCTGCTCTTAACACCTCACCCCATTCTTCACAAAGAAACTCCACACCAATGAGCAAAAGAAGTTGCACTTACTGTCCCTGCTGTGTCGAGGATTTCAAGCATACACTGTTGACAGTCTACTTCCACTTGCTGAGAAAAAAGGGAAGAGATAAACACAATTAAAACTAGAAAGTCTGAAATGGGACAAGCAAGAGAAATATATATCAGCTGAATTTTTACTTCTGCCACACAGACCTCTATAAGCAAGCCAGTCACCTGTTTTAGTGTCTTTAATTATGGTAACATTTATGCTAATCTGTAAAACAACAGATTACTTGACATTGGTGGGGTGAAGAAAGCAGCTCTGTGACAGAATTCCAAACATGACAGCACCAGGGATCCTGACAGGGACTCAAGGGCTTCTACTCAGCAACTACCAGCCTGGATCCCAAACAGCTGTAAAGAATTTCATATGTCTTCAAACTTAGCAGAGCACATTTGAACTAAATGGCAGAACAGCCATTCCTACCAGAGAACAGCCCAATTGCTATGCTGCAGTGGCACAACCTCTGATGAATGGTGTTTCTGTTCTCTACAGCAACTTCTACAGATAGCACACACACAGCAAATATTGGTGTCTTGATGCTTTGAGGTAATAATTACACATCAAATTGCAGCAAACAGATCTGAGTGAGTCTGACCCTAGTTTGGTTGGACTGTTCCTACCCCCAGGCATCAATCCCCTGGTAGAAGGATGGGCAGTTCAGTACAGTTCATAGCCCCCACAAGAAGGAATGGGTGATGATGGATCAGGAAAATACCCCAGATTGATCTCTGGGCATGTCTAGGATCTCTAACAACAAAGCAGGCAGGGAGGGGAGAGCTGCAGCCTCCAACTGCCCCCACTTGAGTCACTGGAGATTTAAAGTGAAAGCTCTTGGTTATATGGAGCAATAGAGGTTTAGGAGTGGTCCAATTAACAGCAAATTTTGTCCTTCCCTGATAATTCAGCTTTATAGTAGCCAATACAATTTGTCTGACTGCATTCAGACCCACTAAGCTAGTAAAGCAGTCTGTAAAGCCAGAGGAAATAACCTGCATGAACCATTTCCCAGGCTGATGCTTTTCTGCTCATTGCTTCCTTGCCGCAGTTTTATGCAGCCACAACATTTTCTCAGAAAAGACCCTTTCTTGTTCCAATAAACTTTTCCTGCACTATTAAAAAGATGCAAAGAGACTTGAAAGACATAAAACCAATGTATTTTTACCTTTCTGTATGAATCTTCTATTGTTGGGTCATATTTTTCAACAAAAATTCCCTGAACAAACTGTACAGTCTGGGGAGAACGGAAAGGAAAAAAAAATCAGAGATCGGAAGTACTTGCAGAAGAATTTTGACCTTGGGATAGATAGCATAGTAGTTACCAGTTATAATAGCTATAATGTTAAAACCAGGAACTTTTTCCAAGAAGCACTTTATGAAAAATTAACAATACAAAAACTACTCAACACTGCTGTGAAAATCCAATAGTGGGGAGCAAAGAAAAAGGTATATAAATCTTCATCTTTTTAAATGAAATTTGCAGTTTCTGTTGTTTTAAGAATCACTTTATTTGAGCATGTTCTCAAAACTCCTTTGCAATGTCAACTGTTTGGCTGCTTTTTCATAGAGTATTAAATCCTTCCAAATGTCTCTAACTTCAGAGCCTGCAACTGCAGAAGAATGAAAATCACCAAATATGAAAGACTTGAAATTCAGTCAGAAGAACTGGTGCTCTGTGCACTGTGGAGAGGTCATTATGGAAAATCCACAGTTCAGTCCAATCCCATTAGAATTCCAGGGGAGCCACTCTGGATTACCCAGCTGGAGCACAGGCTTATTTCAGAGCAGCAAGTTCAACCTGGAGCAACTCCAGATACTCCAGTTGTATTAAACCATTACAGAAGGAGACATCATTCATCCCAAAGAGGAAGTCCTTCTTCCCCTATATAACCATTCAAAGAAAACCTACTCTAAACATTCCCCATCGAGCTGTGGCCCATCTCTGGACGTGCCCCTCGTTACCAAGAGGAACAACCAGCATCATATTGGCACTGAAGAGTTAAAGCAACAAGGAGGATTTGCAGTGAAACAACACCATGTTGTAGTCTACACTCAGACTGCAAAAACACAGAACTGAAAACCAACACCAGCCTCTTTGTCAGACATTTTAGTTTACACAGGTCAAAGAAGGAAACTTTGAAGTGGCCTCTGTATCATTTTAAATTACACCTGGTAACCTCTCCTTGCTAATGCTTGTAAATGAGCAGACAGTCATCTTGAAAGCTGAATATTATTCACACTTAGCTGCTAATTGGTTCTTATTGTGTCCTGTTAGAAACTGAACGGATCAGCGTTGCAGATGAATTACAATATATGCTTACTTAGCATCTAGATTGTCAAAAAGAATGTAACTTTTGTTCACCAGACTAAGTATTTGCATTTCAGCTTTTAAAAAGGCCAGGGATGGATGCTGACTCAGGCTGCACATCACAAACAAGAAAATTCAAAGCGTGTCAGATGCTGAATAATTTGTATGTACAGTGTGTTAAGCAACACCTATTTTACCTCATGAGTCTTTCAACATTACATCACAAAAATAAGATACTCAGGGGATTGCTGAGGAAGAACAGTGTATCAAAGAATTGACACCTCCATGTTGTAAAGATCAGGATGGGATCTCTGAAAAAGCACATCAAATTTGATACATAAATGAATAATCTTTCCTCCCGTTCATCCGGCTTCTGCAGATCTACCAAGATTATTAGCAGCCCATTTCAGCAGAATAAACACCGGTGCAAGAAGCAGGATATGAACAGCAGCTTTATCATCTCCTGTGGAGAGGAACACGGTGTAGTTCCTTGTTTCAGATAACTTCACACTTGACCAGTTCTTTGCCTTTCTTGCTGGAGTGAGCTGCTTGACTGATTTGTGATAAACAGGTGACAGAAATCTCTCTTACAATGCCCTACTATCAACTCTGCTACGTAAACCTCTTGTTAGAAACAACACAAGCACTTCAGGAGAGCAAAGTGTCATCAGTCTGCTTAACCTTCTGCAAGGCACAGGCCTTGCAGCCATGAGGCTTCTCATGCTGCCCATGGTTTCAGTCCAGGCTGCTCATTTGGGTTCTCTCCAGGATGCAACACACAGAACCTTCAGGGCAGGGGAGGCTGCCACGGGCACAGCAACAGCCCTGCTCCTCTGCAGCCTTGGCTGGTGATGCTCAGGCAGATCTTCAGTCACTTACAATACCAGACACACGTGGGCAGGAGAAATGAAATGCTGATTACTGTAACAGGGACTCCAAAAACCTGACCCAAATTCACAGATACGTCAGCAGTGCAACAGTGGCTACGTGGAAGTCACTACACATGTTAAAAGTAACAGAAACATCCCAGTGCATTTAATGAGCATCGTTTGCAGTAAGACAGGCTGCCTTGGAAGCCTGTGCACAGGATTCAGAGCTGCTTCCCAAAACTCACCAAAGCAGACTTCCCCACACCTCCTGAACCAAGGACCACCAGCTTGTACTCACGCATGGTGTGGTCTGTTCAGAGAGCGACGACCTGGAAAGCAGAAAAGAGGCACCAGTTCAAAGGACACCTGCACACCCAGGCTGGAGATGCTGCCTCCCCGGAGCCGCCACACGCCTCCCTTCTCCAAGCATCCCTTCTCCAAGCATCTCTTTGGTGAAAGCTGTGGGGCTTATTTTTCCACCTGGGCACTCAGGTTTGGAGGGCTGCTCAGACAGCCCCAGTTCACAGGAGATGCCCACAGCCAGAGCCACGAGGCTGCTGGTGCAGGGGATGGACACACCGTGGTTCCAACCGCCATGATGAGCTGGGCAGCTCCTGCTGCCTGTTCTCCATCCTCAGCATTTGAGGGCATAAAACAAGGAGTACCAGACAAGAAAATTAGATCGAAAAGAGAGGTTTACTGCTCCCACCCACCCCTACCAGGGAAGGATTTAGGTCAGTATATTCTCTCTGGAAAAGGTCAGGCCTCACTCAGGGCTGCCAGGGCAGAGCTGCTCTGCTCGCCCAAGCAAGGACTCTGCCTTTTTATGGAAATCTTGCAACTCCCTCCGCTCGCTGTGCAGCACCAGAAAACCTCTCCTCCTCACCGAGATTCCCTGACAAATAAGGCAAATGACAAAGCTGCTGATAAACATTTTACACTGTGTTTACATTTAGAAGCCAGGCTGGGCTGTCCCTGTCGAGGGTGCTCAAGCAAACAATGACCTCAGCAGCTAATTCTCCCCCCCTGCCCCAGCACCACGGTGCTTTCTTCCCAAGTAAGGCTTCAGAAACACGAGTGCTATGAGGCTGGGCAAGCTGTGCTACTCCAAGGCATTTCAAACTGACATTGCCACAGGATTTACTGGGTTGACTGGCTACACCTCGAGGAGTGCTTTAAAAATACAAAAGTATTCCAAGCAGTTTGATAGAGACACGTGTCACCTTGTCGACCACCATTAATGACGGTCTGCGAAGAACAGGGACTGTATTTTTAGCTTTGCAACTGTGGACAGCTCTGTGACAATCATCTGTGTCTCAAGTTTATATAATCATTAAATGGGGACAGGCTTTTTTTTTTTTTCTATCACTTAAATTCCCAAGGGAAAGCTGTAGCTCACAGAGTTGACAGGAAACCCATGTGCAGCCACACAGCCAGTCCCTGCTGGGACCACAGTGAACACCTTGTTGGAGACCCTGCCCAAACATCCTGCTCTGAGCCCTCACCCACAGGATATTTTATGGTCTACAGACAGCCCCAGTTCACAGGAGATGCCCACAGCCAGAGCCACGAGGCTGCTGGTGCAGGGGATGGACACACCGTGGTTCCAACCGCCATGATGAGCTGGGCAGCTCCTGCTGCCTGTTCTCCATCCTCAGCATTTGAGGGCATAAAACAAGGAGTACCAGACAAGAAAATTAGATCGAAAAGAGAGGTTTACTGCTCCCACCCACCCCTACCAGGGAAGGATTTAGGTCAGTATATTCTCTCTGGAAAAGGTCAGGCCTCACTCAGGGCTGCCAGGGCAGAGCTGCTCTGCTCGCCCAAGCAAGGACTCTGCCTTTTTATGGAAATCTTGCAACTCCCTCCGCTCGCTGTGCAGCACCAGAAAACCTCTCCTCCTCACCGAGATTCCCTGACAAATAAGGCAAATGACAAAGCTGCTGATAAACATTTTACACTGTGTTTACATTTAGAAGCCAGGCTGGGCTGTCCCTGTCGAGGGTGCTCAAGCAAACAATGACCTCAGCAGCTAATTCTCCCCCCCTGCCCCAGCACCACGGTGCTTTCTTCCCAAGTAAGGCTTCAGAAACACGAGTGCTATGAGGCTGGGCAAGCTGTGCTACTCCAAGGCATTTCAAACTGACATTGCCACAGGATTTACTGGGTTGACTGGCTACACCTCGAGGAGTGCTTTAAAAATACAAAAGTATTCCAAGCAGTTTGATAGAGACACGTGTCACCTTGTCGACCACCATTAATGACGGTCTGCGAAGAACAGGGACTGTATTTTTAGCTTTGCAACTGTGGACAGCTCTGTGACAATCATCTGTGTCTCAAGTTTATATAATCATTAAATGGGGACAGGCTTTTTATTTTTTTTTCTATCACTTAAATTCCCAAGGGAAAGCTGTAGCTCACAGAGTTGACAGGAAACCCATGTGCAGCCACACAGCCAGTCCCTGCTGGGACCACAGTGAACACCTTGTTGGAGACCCTGCCCAAACATCCTGCTCTGAGCCCTCACCCACAGGATATTTTATGGTCTAAATAGAACATGAGTACAGGCTAAAAAAAAAATCCCATGTGCAGCAGGTTTAGCACAACTTGAAGCTCATTTTGAAGTCAGCAGAGCAGAAGCCCCTGGCCAAGCAGCCTTGCCCTCCTCCCCACCCTGCAGGGGGAATAAAGTCAAAGGCAGCAGCAGCAGCCCCACGGGTTTAAGCACCTTGAGGTAGTTTTTATTCAGCTCTCGAAACCTGTGAGACCTGCAGTTGCTTAACTTCACAGAAATTGTGAAACTAAGTCAAACTGAAGGGGATTTTCCAGAACGGTAAGTCTGAGTATCTAACAGCAGAGCAAGTGATGTCGATGAACTCCAGTTCACCAACACCATTTTTGGTTAAAATTCTGGCAGCTGTCAGCTCTTCTGCTTGAAAATTTCCCTGAGAAGTAACATTTACTTCCCTTCTTTCAAAAATAGTAAATTTGGATGGCAAGGAGAGGGGAATTCCAATTAGCAAGGATTTTTTTCCTCTGGTAATCCTTAGAAATTAAAAGGCAATGCATTTTTAATAAAGTATAAATGCAACTTATTGATTCCTTTTATCTTCATCTTCCTGCAGTTCCACAGTCTGTTCCACCCAAGAAAACCCGGAAAGCAATCAAGCTAAGGGTTAAATTTAGCTGCAAACTCCTTCACTTCTTATTTATAGTAAAAATGCTTGTGGGAAAGTTTCAACTGGGAGCAGTACAAGACCAACTTCTCATTTCTTTTCTACAGTATTTGCTGATTTATTTTTTTTCAGGTGAAACAGGAAACCAAGATCCTGAAACCCATGAGCCTTATTACTGTAAAACCCACACACCTTAATTATCTTCTAGCTCTTTCACAAGTATGTTAATATTATCTGTTTATACAACACAAATAGAGTGCTCAAGAAACTACTATGCTGCATCCAAGCCAGCTTTTCATTCAGCAGCTGTTGATGCCCACCTAAACACAGTCAGACACAGCAGCATTCATTTCCATTCAGGGCTCTGCAGTGGAGCTCTGTGCTGCGAAGCACCAACATCTCAAAATGAAACCAAATTATGGGTGTTAATTGTTTCTATAGATTCAAGAAAAGAACACGATCTAAGGAGCGCAAAAAGTAACTTTAACGTTCTAGCAGCTCATCAAGAAATTCATAGTGTGAGTGGTGGAAAGACAGGAGCATGAATAAAGAAAGCAGGCAAACCCAGGGCTGCAAGGGAGTGGGTGCCAGAACTTCAGGCTAGCCTGAAACGTGCAGGCAGCTTGTAGTCATCAGCTTGTCCTTACTTCCCCAAGCACTGATGGGGCTGCAAGTGACAGGAGGTGCAGGCGTGTGCAGCACTAAGAGCACGTGGGCTGAGGGCTCTGCAGAATGTGAGGAAACGTGGCCCTAACTGATGACACAATCCCCATTAAGTAAGATTCTAACAGAAGACTTAAAAAGACAAAAAATAAATCAGCACAGACACATTCTCAACTCAGCCTTAAAAAGAAAAAACTACGAACTGTAACGATAGGTTTGTATGTTGTACAATAGGGCATCAGGAAAGTCAGGTCACAAAACTTCAGGGCTTCTTTTTCCCACTACAGGAAACAAGGTTCAGGCAACTGTTTTTTTGTTTTTAAACAATGTGTAACACACAGCTCTGAAATTTCCCCAACTGCCAATGTTTTCAGTTAGCAATTTAATTTGAAATACATTGAGAACATTAAAACACTCATACCTTGGCATAAAAGATCTCTCATCAGTGTTAGCAGCTCTACTGAAGGTATTTCCAGGCTCCCTACAAGGGACTGAAACAAAAAAAACAAACAAAAAATTAATCCTTTTTCAAACACCAGTATGTGTAAACATCAGTTTCAAACCACAACATGTTTGTTACAAAATTTGATCTTTGCTTTATCAACAGAGCTGTATGTGGTTTCTGAATCCAATGATCATAAGCCCAAGAAATCAGCACAATTTCCCCCCACCTCTCAGGCAGTGAAAGACTGGGGGGTTCAAGCAGAAACCAAAGGCAAACCACACTTTCTCCTTGATTAAGTCATTTAAAAACACTTTAAAAATGGGACTTGCAGTGAAGGTAACCCAAAGGAATAAACCAAAAGGAAAAATTGAAGTTTCATAAATTACAAAGTAAAGAGAAGTTCAATGACCAACTCCTGCTAAAAGCCAACAGAATCTGGGCTCCCACATCCCTCCTGCCCACTCCCTTGGAACTCCCTCCAGATTGCCTTCACACCCAGCACACAGGGAAGCCAGGATCCCAGACACCAGGGAAAAATGGTTCTGAGGAACAAGCTCCAGGCAACCAGAAGCAAGAGACTGAAAACTGAGTCTGGACTAACCAGGTTGGACGGCCCGGCTGGAGGGGAGGCCCCTGCTCCACTGCAGCTCCTCGTGCCCTGCTGGGGCTGGCACTGGCACTAGGAGCTGTCGTGGGGCTGGAAATGCCACTGAGGCCCAGGTTGGACATCCCTGGGCACTGAGCACACGGCCAGCAGGGAAGTCTATACAGCCACATTTCAAACAGATTAACAGGCTCCTTCTATTTTGACAAACTGGATTAATCAAACCCTCACCCACTAGAGAACTCCGAGCACTTGGGAGCTTCCCATGCTCCCCAGGTTCTTCCCTTCTCTCCCACAGTTTGCTTTTCCCACAATGAAGACAACTTTCTTCTTCAGGAGAGATGGGCACTGCTTAAGTCAAATCACTATGTTCCTGGGGACCTTTTCTCCCTAATACATTCTAGAGAAGCTGACTCTTAAAAAAGACAAACTGAGGCCAGTCTAACACCATTTGAGGTTGTATCAAGTTCACAATGCATTTTAGGAGATGAAGACATAATCCTTGTCAAGTATTTTTCCACATGTAATAGGAAGTGAGGCTGCAGCCAAGCAGAACTCATCCAGGCAGCTCTTGCTGCAAGTTGGATTCAACACACACACCTGAAAAGAGAAATTTTTAGTGAGAGTGCTGCACAGTCTCAGCTAAGGGACTGAAGGCAGATGACAACTCAGTAAGACAGGCTGTGTCTTCACTCCAGAAGCACAAGGAACAGCCCTAGTTTAAAAAAGGGTGAGAGAAAAGGAACAGAAAGTGAGGCACTGAGCAAGCACACACCAACCTGCCAGCACCAGTTCCTGAGACCACATGGAACAGCCCCTGAAGGTGCAGCTCCTGCAGCCATGGGCACTGTTAACCTGATGTATTTTGCTCCCTTGCTGTTCCCTGGAAAGATGCAGTGGGATGGAGAAGGATAAGGAAAGACGCTCCTGAGATAGAGGAGAAAGGAGCAGGGAGCAAACACCACTCCCCCAGCCCCTCCCTCCAAGTGCTGGCTCAGTTATCACCCACACCTCCCTTTTTGTCACAGTCACAACTTCACATGTGGAAACCAAAACACTTAACATTTCCAAGGGGAAATGTGCTGTCAGCATTTCACTAATCTGGGAGAGAAGATGCTCCAGCCCCTCACACCCCTGTGCCTGGGACACCCTGGCCATCACTTGCCTGTTTCCCAGAGAGGGGCTGACTCTTGGGACGTGACAGCCACATGTTGGTTATTTTTATCCTGGCAGTTAAATACTGAATCATGGCTAGTATAAACAAACCTGTTTCATTTTAAACTTGTAAATGTTCTTCATGCCAGTTTTTTAAATTACTCTAAGCTAGGCCATGAGAAGGAGTGATTTTTTTTTTTAAGTATCTACTAAACATTGCACAATGCTCCACCAAAATCCCTTCATTACTCACAGCCATGTTTGCAAAACAAACTCAAATCCAGCACTTCTGCAAAGGAAAGATTTACGACGACCAAAACCACACTAGAACTGACAGATCCCCTCCACAATAAAAATAATCCAAACAAATAGAATGATAGAACAGTGAAGGCTGGAAACTTGAGAGCTGGGGCTCTACCCTTGGCTCCACCAAGGTCCAGCACGTGCCGAACCATGGGCTGCAAACTGCCTGGCCCCCAACAGCACCTCCACTCACCCCCTGCTCCCTAAGGAGCTATTTGTTATATACCATTTTCTAAGATATCAAATTACTCAATGAATTTGAAAGCACATTAAATACTTCCCCAATATTAATCAAAGCTGCCAACAATTACGCAACCTTTACACACAAGCTTCCAGAAACGTGCGGGGTGAGGGACAGCGGATCACAAGGAAAAGGGTGCTTGCAACTTGCATGATCAAGTAACAGAGATTTAAAAAGTAACAAGACAAACACCACCATAGACTTACCCTGTGAGTTAGCACGGAATTTACTTAAATAATAATGGGATGTTATTTGAAGTGTTCAACTGGAAAAAGGCAAGAGCCTTCAAACCCGGCACACATCAACTGCTAAAAGCTCTGGTCCTGACCGTGTGTTCTTCCTGAACCACATCCAAGTTATCAGTTTCTGCAGAATTTCACACCCTCCATGGTGTGTTGTGCAGGTCTGTGATGCGGGGCAAAGCCATAAAAGCTTGGGCTCAGAGTAAAGTCCTCTAGCAACAGCGTCGTGCTTTCTGACTCGGGTGTCGCGCTGAACTGGAGCTTTGAGCAGCCCACGCCCCACACACACACACACACACACACCAGCCATCATGCTGCCATTTGAAAAAGTGATTTTATGCACCAACATATTGAGATTGATCTTCCTCAACCCACAACCTTTTCTGCAACCAGCTTCATGCTGAACTTGCAATTTCAAATACTGTAATGTTTACTTCCCTGGAAGTGACTCCCTGCTTATTCCCTTCAAATCCCTCAGCTATAGCAGCACTCCAGGCAAGGAACAAGCACTCTGGGCAGCTACAGCTCGCCCTGCTGAAATGGCTAATTTATTTTTTGTCCTATTGGTTTGCATTTACAGAAAGTTGCTCAGGCTGTGTGCCAGACAGACAAAGACAGGGGAAAGGAAGCCAGAAGCAAAGCTCAAAGCCCAACACACTGCAGCCCCAAATTAGAACACCACGCTACGTCAGTGGCTGCTCTTGGCAGCCTCCCCTCCGAATCAACTGCAGCACTGCTGCAAACTCAGTACTGGGAGCACTGACCTGCCAACAGGATGAGAGACACCCACCTGAACTGGGCAGGTTTAGGAGAAAAGACACTTTTCTCAATCTTAGATATGAAATGTTTTAACAAGCAGTGTGTAGCCACATCAGGGGAACAGAACAGTGATGGATCACCCGGCCAAGTGGCAGCTGTAGAGCAGAGGTCCTCCCTCCCACCACCATGGGTGTACTCAGCCCTTTCTCTTCTCATGAACAGCTACTGAAGTATTAGCTTTTTTTAGGAAGAAGAGAAAAAGATTTCCTTTCCCCTTCCTAATCAGCAAAAGATGTAAATGTTACAGGCACACACATTCAACACAGAAGCCATTTATGGGACTTTCTCCATCTGTTCTCTACCACAGCCACAATTTGCCACTGATTTATTTTTATTTATTTATTTTATTGAGTGGAAAAAATGTTCTGACCTTTTTTTTTAATACAGATTGAATTCCAGACAGACTCTAGGAGGCTCGATCATAGCAAACCACCAACTACATTATACTTGGTAAGAATAATGTGTTGTGCTGATAGTAGCTTGGCAACGTTCTTAACTATGTTCTTCCTGGTTCATGTAATTAGAGTAAATAAGTGACATGAGGTAGGTAGATTGTCACTGCAATTTCAGCTTGCACTTTAATTATTTCATTTCTGCAGTAACAGTGACCAGACACTGGTCACAAAGTCCAGGCACTGGACACTTCCAGGGGTTGGAATCCAGTTGGTCCTTATTTGGTCTCCAGCAATGACGCTTTGATGGAGAGACCAATACAAATTCCTCCTCATTAAGGTTTCTTTGTAGCCTTGAGGTTTAAACTGCTATTCATCTATTTCTATCCATGAATGATAAATCTTAAGACTAATAATAAGCCTCTAAAAATACTGCCTGCCAGCACGGACCAGTGCCCTGCCTCTCAGGAGACTGGGCTAACTTAATGTTTTCTGGAATTTCTAAGATTCTTTACATCTTACTGGCAAAGCTGCAATAATCAGCCTGTGTGTGTACACTGGATTTGACCATGTAGACTGATCTAAAGGTCAGGTTTGCATATGCAGGCCAGAGATTTCCACTGCCTTAAAAACACCTCAGTGTGCAGTGTGTCAGGCACAAGCAGCCCGAGCACCGGCCGTTCCCACGCAACTGCCGCTAATTCACCGCTGGGTTCAACAGTGATTTTTTTGAATGAAAAGCCCCACTTACCATATGGCCACTCACTCATATTACATTGTTTATCAGTCTAAATAAAATCGCTACAGCAATGAGTATCCATGGAAGGAGTGCCTCAGTCCACACAGGATGTGTTTTAGCAAGAAGAACTGCACCTCTTGAAATGCGTTCACAGCCAATTTTAGGGCTTGATAGGGACCTGAATAGCAGTAAGTCCACAAACAGAATTTACTTAAAAGAGAGAAAAAGTAACAGTTTCATTACTTTTTATAATTAAATGAAGTTATTTATTATGGTACTTAATCCTTCAGTATTTTGCTCAGTTCCTTAATGCTGCTTCCTGGAACCTGAAGCAGAACGGGGCAGAAACTCACCTGGTTTTTTTTACCAAAAAAAAATTAAAAATGTTCTTCTATATGAAGATTTTAACTGAAGGAATATAAAAAATGTTATTAACACTTCACTGTGATGCTCCTTGGGCTCTAGCACTGAGAACCTTCAGGCCAGCAGGGCTGAGAACTGAACCACTGGCAGATCTGACCTCTGCACTGGGCCTTCTTTGAAGCTTTTA